ACGATATATCACGGTTAATAGAACGTTTCCTTGAATGCAGTCTATGGGCGATATTTATAGTCCAGTCTTATTTTAAGACTGTCTTAAGTAATGTCTTAAGACGTTAATATAAAATCCTCTTTTCATTTTGGTGAAATATATTGTATATTGTTGTTGTTAATTAATGTTTATTTTTTATAAATAAGATCTTTTTTTTATAAAAAAATTTCCTTGTACGAATACTTTCTGCTCTCACTGTATATTATATATAAAACTAGAATATTGTATATGTTAATGGTGTTATGAATTCCATAAATTTCGCGTTTTGACGAATTCAACAATATAAAGCTACGTACGCATCAAACAAATCACAGAAACACGGAGAAATTAATTGCGATTATACTTGACTAAACTAATTAAAAACGCATCGAGACACACCACCTGCTCGCTCGCGTCCATTCCGTATCTGCGGCGTTCAGTAAATGATCAAAAGATACTCACGTCTTGCTTGAATCGTTCCACTGAATTATTGTACAAATCATCTACTACTCCGGAAACGATGGATAAGATACATACATCAGCGAGAAAATATAAGGAACCTCGCGAGATTCTCAGATCTGAATACTATATCAAAGAAATAATTACTATTTAGATGTCATAAGATAATGATTTATATCCTTTCCATTTTAACGAATAATAAATCACGCGATAAACCGGATAAACCATCATCCTCTCGTTACGCAAGCCTCATTACTGGAGTACGACTGCGGATTGACGGTTCGTTAAATGTAATCGTAAGATAGAACGCGTTCAGAATTTTCCAATGCCTATCGCGATCGTCCTAAAAAGAGTAATAACAATGTACGTTCCGTCGGCTCGAGTCTCGTCGCGCGAATGATAACAGAGGTGACCGCGTGTGACGTCACAATAGCGTTACACGCCGCGCGTCACTAGCGATTGTGATCATACAAAAATATACGGCAAACTTCAGAATTGCCGTGCAAAATACATTTCGAATACTTACATTCCACGAAATTGTTATACACATGTAATTGAAACGGTTAATATATTATGGTTATTGGTGGTTCCAAAAATTTGTCAAGGAGGGTCACATAAATAGTAGAACAAGAAATAATTATAGATATATATATATATATCCTACATTTTAACTAATCTATTTAAATAATCTATTTAATGAAGAAATCGCTTTAACAATTATTAATTATATTTGT